TACCGCTTATGGCCAACTACTTACTGTAAAATATGGAAACGCAGTCAGCAAGTACTGTTCGATGGTGTAGTTAGTGCCACGGAGTGTAAATATAATTCCAGTCAGCCGGCGGGTGGACATTTACCAAGTATGAGGAGATACCTACTTTGCAATATTTACTTTGTGACTCGTTTAAGCATTGAACCTGATAAATGTGCCTGTTTTGTAAATTATAGTGATGTACGTATGAGAGCATTTGTGAAAACTGGCATACATTATATTATATAATTGTATCTAATTACAAAATCAACATAATCTTGAGTATAATAGACTTGCATGTAATCTGTATTGAAGCCAGTGACAGTTTGGATCAAAATGATCTGCTACTGGATTTTTCGTACCAAAAATGCTGATTTTGATGATGAATAATAATAATAACGCACGCAGTCATAGCCCCGCACTAGGGAAATCCTGTATCACGAGTCCTATGGACACACACATAGACAATCAGAAATTATACCTAGTTTGGTGGAAAGAAATAAATGTGTACAATACAAATATTTCTCCCGGCCCGGTACCTCTGCGTGGCAGTCCAGCATGATGACCGTCCGGCCACGGAGGCACTTGAAATGCATATAAGTACATTTAATTACTTTTGATTTTATAAATAAATAAAAAACTAAAAACAACATGTATGTTCGTATCGTACAATTGAGTCGTTGGTCTTGTTCGTCGCTGTCCGCTCCCTCAAATATTCTAATGTAACCGAGTTGTCGTGATCAGAATATGTTATATGTATAATAAGTACACAGAAAAAAAGGATTTCTACTAATAAGAAATATTTGCTAATTCTGAAAAAATATTTATTAAAAGTAACAAAATATTGTCGTTACAAAACTACTGCTTATCTTTTTCTAATACAATTTTACTCTTAACTTTATTCTAACTTTGAGACAAATACGTTCACTTCAAGATTTTATTTCATTTCTAATCAATTAATTGGACATTACTTACATCAAGAAAATTTTACCTCTTACATCAAATTTAAATAATCTTAAATGAATTCAAAATTTCTTGGGTGTATTTTAAGAAAATATATTCTTAAACAAAAAAAGAAGTAGTTTTCTATTGAGATTAATATTCTAAATTCTAGAGTATATTCTTAAAGCAACATTTCGTTGGGTTTTCATAGTCAATGTGGTCGTGACATGTCGCCGAAGGCGCACGCGGTAACGATTTCTTTTACTTGTGCTTGTAATCATAAAAATCATAAACAGTCATTTATCCAAAGAAACAATACGTAGTATTTCTAGTTTGTTAGGGTGTTATTTATAGTCATAATTTAAGAAATTTGGTTACAGCATGAAATCAAACTACACTTGTAATAAGCACAACTTTAACATGCAATTAGTTCCATCACGCCTCTGCTAGATGGCATTAGTTGTACTCTGAAACGCGCAATCGTTTTGTTAACTTCAATAGTATAGAGTCATCTCATATAATTGAGATAGTTAGACTTAGCTTTAAGTTTTAAGCATCTACGACCCTTGTGAGTGAGCAAAGAAAGTCATCCTATTTCATTCACTCCCATCGTCGAAATGGCCCGATTTGAAGAGAACTACAACGAGTGGCGCGCTCAGTCACCACGGAACGGAGATCGCGCATTGTATCAAATACGTATGTCGTGATGTGAGTGACGGGGATAGCTATTGGAACGGAGGAACACCTATGTGACTTTGGAACGTCGTTCCTTCGGAACGAGTCACGGTTATACTGTTTGACGGCGGATCATCGTGATTTTTTCATCGTGACGTTATTTATCACCCACCTCTACTTTTCTCCGGTGGCGCAGTAAAGGCCATCAGCGGCCAACTGCAAAATATCCTTTATAAAAAAAAAGGAATCGTTAGTGCTTTCTGCCGCTGTAGCATTTGTACGGCACTGAATGGTACTCAAGTATTTGAGAAGATTCCGTCCTATTTCTGCTACTTTAAGGTTTGGCACTGAACTGTGTGCTTTCACGCTATTGAGACATACTGTTGTGTTGTGTTGAAAACATAAATCTTCCGTCAAATTATTAAGTACCTGTAAATTTTTCATTCTTTTTTTTTTCAAATTAAAATCGGACATTTCTAATAACAAATAAATATTTTGTTGAATCTAGAGTGGCTTTGTGACTTGAAGTAAATTAATTTGCGCTTGGATTAAATATTTCTGTCGTATAACTGAAATACACTTTTGAGACTTTTTTTACTATTATCAAGTAATTATTCTCTAGCGTCTATAGGGAGATGATCGTTTTGTTGGATTTAATAAATTTGTCTTCATAAAAAGAATTTTGTCTTTTTCTAACTAATCTGTTTTTACCGTGTAGTCACGTGTAACGTATCGACGCTAATATCACAAATGCTAGCAGCTGCAATAAAAGTACCTACTTATTGTGTGTGGAAGAAGATCGAGCACTAACTTGTGCGATGCGATAAATCTTGGATGAGAAATTTATAGCACGTTGAAATCAAACGCTGCGCTACATTGCTCAGTCGACTATGAAATAAAATCCAAAATATACTAGAAAAGTTCCTGGCTACAATAAACTGGGAGGTGCAAGTAGAATACGAATATCTATAAGTTTCGTGATTGACCATATTCACTTCGGGAGAAAGCTTGCGAACAATTACTGTCCTCATTTATGCACTTCTCATTGAGAGTTGTGAGATTTACTTATTGCGGGCAGCTACCTTGTAATTGGACAAGATTATTATATTAATTAAGAAGCTGATTGCGTACAGGTGTGGGGGCTCCATCCAAAAATATTGGATGGAAATACTCCAGGGAGTATAGGTATACATCCACATAAAACTAATGGTTTTGGAATGTTTATATTCCTCTCTCTTTCTTCTTTTAAATAAATAATGAATCACATACTAACGTAATTCCAAGAAAAATGGACAATATAAAATAATAAAACTGTTTATTAAATAATTTATTGTACTAAGGAATAACTAAAGTCTAATTATGTGAATCAATTTAAAATATAACACATATACCTATACCTGAACTAAGAGAATCTTGTATTTCAGATAAAAAGTGCTAATTATACATGTGGATATATTATTAAATTATAAACAAAAGAATATGTATGTACAAATGTGACTTGCATGAAAATAAATAAATAAATAAATAAATTATGATGAATATGGATGAGGACTGAAATAAACAATGTTTTTTTAAGTCGATACATCAAAAAATATACATTGTAAACATCATAAGCCTTATAAATGAGATTGCGTGTGTATGCAGATCACAGGGTAATCCCTGAAGCGGATGGATGTATGTAGAGGCATTAGTGGGCCTAATGTGGAGTTGTCGGGCGCAAGCTGCGACGGGGTGACGCCGAGACGAAGACTGCGCGACGCTGGCGTAGCGGCTGTCGATGTCGCACAGATTTATCGTCCGCGCCCCGCCCTCGGACGTGGCCCGCTAGCGACAAGCGTAGGGTTCACACACTGTATTTACCATTTTATTCCAATGTTATGGTGAAATTATTAAATAATATTCTGATAAATAAAAAGCAGCAGCTGAGCACTACAGTCGGACGCATGCTAACCGTAAACTATTTTACAACCAGATAATGAGGAGTCCTTGGAGTCTTTAAAACTAATCTTTTGAATAGTCACATATGGAAATATGTCCACTTGTAATGGCATCTAGTTTCTACTGGATTGTCTTATATACAAGGACAGTGCTGAATACCCGTTAATGACCCTGGCAGCCCTGGCTCTCGCGCCCAGAAGTTCATTTCGAAAAAGACAATCGACTCTCATTTTTCTTTTCGTTTTGCGACGTAGTGCAGGACAAAGCGTCTGTTGTAAACTCTGGGTGACAGTCTATTTTAACACTAATCTGCATACTTCGGCTCCCTTGCGATGTTTGCAGCTTCTCGCGGCTCGCAGATATTCGAACTGTAGTAGATGCTATTAACGATAAAATGAGCGACTCGCGAGAGATTGTAAAGTAAACCGCTAAATGAAGACGTTGCAACAAGTTTAAATTATATAAACAAAAAACAAAAAAATTACAATCAAGCGTGAGAAATAATATCACTGTTGAACATGACATTATTTTTCACAATTTTAATAACTTAAAATTATACGTAAACATCGTAGCGGACACAAAAGAACAGACAATACACACTCGTCTATTAAATCTCTAGCAATTTCATTACAGAATCGCAGTGTTGGCGGCGGCGGTGCGGTGGGCAGGTCACCATGCAATTAAGCTGGCATATCTACTTTAAAAAGCAATGTCCCTATTTCGCAGATAGCGCGCCGTCGCCGTGTTAGCCTGCTCAGTAACAAGTCCGCTTTTCTGGAATTTAGAGACAAGAGCAGCGAGGGTGGAAAATTTTACGGTTGTCTGTGCAAGTCGGTCTTGTACAACGTCATGAAAAACTCGTAAATGCCGCGTACTCGCGTGTACCGCCGGAATTTTCCAACCCAGTGGTCGCGCGATTTGCGGAACATGCAAAATTTTATGAGTTCTACATCCATCTCCTCCACTTTGACGATGTGTCTGTATTTAAATTTTACGAGTCGATCTGGCGGCGCTCCGAGGGCCTATCTGGGCTCAGCTCAGATAACGTTGCTTTTACGAGAGAGCAAGGTCAGCCTTCGTGGCGCTGCCGCTTTAAAACATTACACTTATCATTTATGTTTATCAAAGTAGACAATTTTTCGTCGAGCTCTTAGGTTTTTGGCGATTGTTAAATATTGGAAATGAAACTATATTTTCGCATCTAAATCGCGTTTACTTGTCTCACCGACCTAGTCAGCCATGACATAGGGACCTGTAAAGGGCCCGGAATGTTGATTTGTTTAAAAAAACAAGTACACTCGATTTAACTCCGAAAAAATAGTTTCATTTCCAAGAATTTTTTTTACTAATAGGCTTATACAAATATTTGTAAGTAAGCAAGTCGCCAATAACTAAAATTTATTAAATAAGTAGTTAGTAAAATGTAGACATGTAATTGAAAACCAAAAGCGCACTGTAATAAATTGAAGTGTTCTTAATTAAATTTGCAACTAAATCATTGGAAAGTTGGCTATAACGGAAAATCCGCGGTTGCACTCGAGCGGAATTGAAAATGGCAACAAAATGGAAATCCGAGTAGTCGATTCGAAATTCGATTTGCATTTTCGTTTCATAAGGTTCGAGTGGTGCCTAAATAAGACTTAACACTCGCTGGGGGATTATTACTGCTATTCGACTCCTCCCTGCCTCGCTCCTGGGGGAGCGGGTACTTGCATGCAGCGCACGGAGCATCTTCTTACTTAGTAAACTTAATGTTGTGCTCTATGATTTTACGAAACAGAACGTTAGCTGCTTTAGCAGCAGCATCTCAGATCAATTTATCGCAGAGGCTTCTATAATATGTTTATTCTTTGAACAGCATTGTCCGGGAACAAAGTAGATGGGCAATAAAAGTAAGCTAATGAAATATTCATTAGTAACTTTCATGTTCGACGGAGGTATTAACGTTATTTTGATCTTTTCTTACTTTTTGGGAACATTTGGCGTTCAAAAACACCGGAATAAAATAGTTTTTTTTTAAATAAAACGAAATATTTATGACCGTAAGTGGGTACTTGTTTGTAGGGTGCAAAAATGATACAATGAAAAAGTATGTACAGACAGCCGCACATCAAGATACACTGGATGCGATTCGAACAAAGTGTGCTGTTGACTGTACATTGACGTTGACGTACATTGATGATTATTAGTTCCATCCGGGAACCTACGACAATTGAGAAAATACTCACATGTTATTTAGAGATAATGTAACAGATTTGTTGAGATATTCTCGGCATGATAAGATTATCACGAATTAGTATATACATAATATGTATTTGCGTCTATACATGTACCTATATATACTTTCGAGACTGGCTTTAACTACCGCACTACTTTACCATCATATAAACTCTCTATTTGCGTTTCATTGTAACCTAAGAAATCGGTGAGTATTTCTTTAGTGTGTTCGCCAAGAAGCGGCGGAGCGGTTCTGGCGAAGTTCCCTCCCTCGCTATACACGGTGGGAGGGGCAGTCGTTTTAATGCTGCCGATCACTGGATGTGGCAGCTCTTTTACCGTTCCTATTGCCTTTACATGCTCGTCCTCAAATACTTCTTTAATAGTGTTTACCGGACCTACCGCGAACGCAGACTGCTTGAAAATTTCCCACCATTCTTTCTTAGTTTTCTTTTTAGTAGCCTCACTAATATTTTGTATCAATAATTCTCTGTTCTGAACACGGTCAGCGTTGTCTTTAAATCTGTGATCGGTAATCATCTCTTCTCTGCCAATGAGCTTGCACAGATCTCGAAATTGCGGGTTAGAATTAGCCCCGATGACGATTTCCCCGTCACTGGTGGGGAACGCTTGGTATGGTACAATGTTTGCATGAGCAGTGCCCCACTTCTGCCCCTCGATGCCGCAGTTGAGGTAAATGTTACTGACATTGATCATGCATGCGATTTGCGTCGACAGCAGGTTGCAGTCTATCTTCTGTCCCTTGCCGGTCTTGTTGCGGTAGTGCAGCGCGGTCATGATAGCGCCGAACGCATGAAGACCCGTCGCGAGGTCAGTCATCGCCACTCCTACTTTTACAGGTCTGCCATTTCTTTCTCCAGTTATGCCAAGGAGGCCGCCCATCGCTGCTGCTATCACGTCGTAACTAAAATATTTATGAAGTTTATTTATTACACAATACATAGGAAGATAAACATTCTGAGGTGAAGGGACAACAGCCAGTGGTTTACCCCGGTTTCTGAGCATACGGCCCGACATGGCCGAAGCCGGTGATGGCGCAGTAAATGAGCCGATGATTAATACGACTCAGCTTTTCGTACCCGACTTCCCACTGATCTAGCTTGCCTGGTATGTAGTTTTCAACGAGAACGTCGCATTTTTTTGCTAAATCATAAATTATTTGCTTTCCTGAAATTGACGAAAATATTCCACCTTATTATCAAACTTAGGTACAATAAATCCAAAAACAACCGAAGACCATGATACCCGTCATCGACATATTAATTATTGTTTACAAACGCAAAACTCACATAAATTTACTTGCCTTCCGGCTTCTTGAAATCCACACAAATGCTTTTTTTATTCCTATTCACTGAAGTGAAATAATAAGACTCCGTGGTGTTATCGATGAAAGGAGGACCCCACTTGCGAGCCTCGTCTCCTTCGAGGCTCTCAATTTTGATTACATTGGCGCCCAAATCGGCGATGGTCTGCGTGCAGTATGGCCCGGCGATCACCCTAGTAAGATCCAACAGGTTAATGTCGCTTAGTAAGGCCGGGAGCTGCGTCGAGTATGGCCTGAGCCCTCGCCACTCGGCTTTCAAAACGCGTAAAGTAAATTTCTTAGTTGCTTCCATCGCGGCTGATACGCAACTGAGGAGATTTGTTGTCTAAATATAGATGCCGCCATGACGTCAACACACACCGATAGGAATGAGTCAGTGATACGAACGCCGCGGAAATATGAAACATTTTACGACCACATTAGATGCCATTTGAACGTTACCACACAAGCGTAAATAGTCAAAGATATGTAGATAGGTAATATTCGTGTAACAATGTTAGCGAAATATTAGTTGTTTAGCAAGATATCATAATACGAAATCGGACGTAGTAACTCCAAGCATAAGCGGTACAAACATTATGGTATTTAATTACTTTGTTTAATTTAATTCTTATTCTTATTCTTAAATAAAGTATTTCATTATAACTTTGGTATATTGAAAACCTTTAAAATCTTAAAGCCTTAAAGTCTTCCAGCGTTATCGTGTTATATTAAAGTGATAGTTTTTAAGTAGGGTATCAATCGGCTTACATGAATATGCAGCAAATAAATTTAAAATTCGTGACAAATATTTATTTAGCATTAAGTAACTGTTCTTGTTAAAGTTTCGTGGAGGGCTGCGCCCAGGAGTAGGTACCGTGCCCCGGAGGCTAACAACGTTTCCTCTTTGGATTATTAAACGTGGCGAAAGTACCTGCCAGATTCTTGTCTTTTTATTTAATTAACTGATATTATATTTTCTTTGCGATATCTATGATGTGAGAGAATAATAATTTTTAAGTGGAACCTATTTCTACAAATGGTTTTGTTAAATAAATCATAATTTCTGGAGGTATTTTTATTAGGTATATGCTTACAATTTTTTACAGGATGTAAAAAAGTGTGCAAGATTTTTGTACATTACAATAACTAATGAAACAAAAGCATTCTACATTTGCGGTTTATGTGAAACAATTCAATTCAATGTAACAATACGCACATATCAGTATGACTACATGTGTAACTGCACAAATCCTTTTGCAGTTTCAAATGTTTGACTCACGGCCCTGGCGTTTCGACTTAGTTCTCGTTAGTTCATTCAGCGAAAAAGCCCGATCCCGCGTTCATTAAATTCAGTAGCACCTACTTCAACGTGTTCAGATCTGATTTAACAAATGTGTTGCGCACATATAGTAAAGTGTACGACTGTGTTTCGAGATTGTTTTTAATTACGACGAAAGTCCTTCACACGGCGTCAACTGGCGTTCGACTACTTTTAGGAATATGAACAGTGATTTATCGGCATCTCATACAAATCTGCATCAGTCGTTCTATTGATTTCTTCGAGAAATAAATAATAAAGGCCATAATCCGGTAATCCAAAGAAGCCTACACAGTGGCAAAAATCCAATTAATGCGATTATCGGACGGCTCGAATAAGTAATAACCATTTTTAACTATTGTTTCTGCAGGTCGTTTATATAATTATTATTATCAATATCGACACATGATGATTAGATCTGATTTACTAACTCCTCTATGCAACAAGTGGAATACAATAGATATATCCACCTAATGAGTTTACCATAAGTTACTTTGAAACCGTGTCATTGTTATTTGGTGGAGTCAATGGACGTATAACAGATATATAAATGCATACTCTCTCCTAGGTGGTGGAGCCGAGACGATCAATAGGTAATATCTGCCATAGTCAGCACCTGTAAGGTCCTCTACGGTGCACTGACCACTTTTTGAACTTTGTTAAGTGATCGGATACTTCGCACTTCGTTAGCTTATTCTTCAAGGCAAATAGTGCTTGCATCAAGTTACTATTAAGTGACGAAATGGATTGATTCAGTAAGACAAAGACACTCTACTGCACAAGTACGGATGAGTTAGTTCCTATTAAACGCTCTCGCACATTTAGAGCCATTAGTTGAACTCGCTACTAAATGAGCACTAAAATAAGCATTAATCATGTGAAGGGGAGTGCGGAGGTTGGGCGGGTGTGCGGCAGGTCGGCTCTATCGTCTCGCGTACATCACCATAAATCACGCTAAGCGACGCAGATATTTGCGGGCTTAGCATCCTATGTGTGGCCTAGATGACCTAGTTTTGGCCCAGGGCTCCAGTCCGGTAGGCCCGGCGACCGCGGTCCGACAGTGCAATTGTCTATGCCGCGTATCGCCTCGGACAATAGCTAACTCTATTTATTTAGGGCCGCTAAAACAGCGCCAAGTCCAAAACGATGTTTTGGTTAAAATTAATGTCTTTGAAATCAAAACACAATGAAAATAAAGTTATGGACTTCGAAGTGGGAGGGTGTTTGCTTTCATTTCCCATTGTGAATGTACCGCGATGATAAAGGAATATCTACGTGTGTGAACCAACAGAGCTTATGACTTCGATAGGAGTGTTAAGAGAGAGCCAATCAGCAATAATTTAGTTGGGGTTCATAGGTGGGAGCGGCAATGCGCTATATTTTAAAGGTAATGGGTCGGCCGGTCGCGTTGTGGTGCGAATTGTAATGAATTACCTTACATTTATCTCGGTGCCGATTAATTGGCTGAACGTGGACTACCACCGCCCCGCCACCTCGTGCCTCGTCCCCGCTGCACTCCATTCCGTTTCTTTTCACAACTTAAATAATTGGGTACTTGCAAACTATATTACTACAGACTAAATACAGTTATAGCTGGGTAATCCGATATTATCTTGAACATAGTATTGTGAGACTGAGCAGGCATTGGCAACCATTCATTATGTAATAGGTAAATCGGATAACAAATCAGCAGCGCCATCGTCGCCGTGCCCAGCCTCAGCAAAACCGTCAGCCAAAAGATCGCAAAGGGGTCGCATAGTTGAAATTCAATAGAGTGAAACTGAACGGTTCGGCGAATCCCTCTTCAACTCAACAAATATTTAGGGAAATTAGAAAGCGACATTCTCGGCTTAGAGAACGTCGCATCGACGATAAACCGTTGACGAAACTAGAAATATAATTATAATAATAACGCACACACTCAACATAGCTCCGCACTAGGGAAACCTGTGTCGCGGATGCCATGGACACACACACATAGACAACCACAAATTACACCCAAACTCACGAGAGAAATAAATGTAGGCCACACAAATATTTCTCCCGGCTCGGGAATCGAACCTGGGACCATTGGGCCACGGAGGAGAAATATAGATAATAGGTATAAGGTAAATCCTGTCCACGGCCTCGGAAATGTTTGCCACTTCGTGTGTCACTCAGCAAATTTAGTATTTCGCTTTTCACCAGAGATTTTCCCCCTAGCGGCAAGTTTTTCGGCTGTTAATATAAATGTAACTTAAGGATGTTGAAAAATCATTCCTCGCGTCATAAATTGTAGCGAAGGCGGCGAGGGCGGAGGCAGGCGGGGGTGGGCAGTGGTGAAAAATTGCACTCGCTGTGTAATCGTTGTGTCGAAGCCGAGGGTGCTAATGTTGCAAGTTAAATTTATCTCGTAAAGCATTTATTATATCTACAACCGCCGCCGCGCAGCGACTGGCTCCTGTCAATGACTCAGCGCGATCACCGCAGCAATAAAAATGAAAAGTTACCTACAAGTTTCCACCAAGACGCCTCCTTGAACTAACTTTGTAAAATAGGGAGTGAAAAAAAATTTGGGGTTTATGTAACCTTCACATTTGCCTATTAGCATAAACCTTTTTTATATTAATTTAGGGCACACGTCATTTGCCTCGGAGCGTTTGATACGAATTCAATAAACGTTAAACAATTTTTTTATCTATTCTAAAATTCGCTCTCAAAATTCCTTGGAATGAGAAAAACGAGGCTAAGGTAAGGAAGCGCGGGGCGCGGCTCTGTGGCTTACCCCTTGTGGTCGTACCCTCGGGCGAATTATAGGCCTACAGCCCCTGAATACTAAAGTGGAGGATAAAAATTCACCCCTCAGGTAGCCGCTGCTAAGCCGACAGATAAGTTCGTCTCAAACACGGCCGGGAAGAAATCCGGAGGGAACAAATCAATCCCGCGTGTGGGATTGGGAGATCAAGCGGACAGGTAAACAAAAATGCTTCTGGAGCTCGCTTGTTGATCCTCAGCTAACAACGGAAAATAAGGAGTCCGTGTTTAGGTTTTATAAAACAACGCCCTTTATTTGGGGAGCAAACAAAGTTTGTTTGTTTTTTTTAATATTGTTCTTTGGCACTCCTTCTGCTGCTAGTAGAGCATTAGCTAACACGGTTTGTTCGGTATTTGTTAGAATGTTATATGTATATTCGAATCCCGCAGTAGATGATAGTCGTGGCACAAGTGCTTTTATCTCATGCGCGAGGTGCCGCTGCGTGTGTATCTGTGTGTATCGTGCTCGGCATGCATGAGAGCGGCCTACTTCGAGTCACGTAGCCGCGGCGCAAACGAGCCGACTTGTGGCACAAACGAGCCGACTCGTTCCACGCCTCGGCCGACCCACTGTCACTGCTAACGACTTCCAATGAAGTAAGCGTTCGTTATGACACTTGTTTTATTATAATAATATATCGTGTGGCGACGACGACGACAACGACCATAACGACGCGAACGCGGCGACATGTAATGTAGCAAGTCTTAAATACTCGTAAGGGTGCTTCTCACCAAAAGTTACGATGTGAAAATCTGATGCTGATGAAGTGATGACAACAATTAAATATATATTAGAGCAAAACTTCGATATCGGAAAATAAGTAAAGAGAGGAACGTTCAAACGTGTTCGTATTTGTCAAAGCAACGATTCCGCAAACCGTGTGCTTAACGTTAAAAATACCTATGTTCGAACAGGTGTAAAAAATGCGGAAAACGCATTATTATTGAAAGAAAAGCTTTGTTTTCTGCGAAGGAAATTACGCTGAAACTCACGGTCCATTGAGCAAAGTATACGTCGCGCCTGATTCTCGTAGCGTACAAGTCGCCATATTACGACCGACGACGACGCGACTACGCGAGCGCAGGTACGTAGTCATACGTAGTCGCTCCATCCCGCGGACAGGCCCCACTGACACAATTTCTTTGTAAAACACCACTTTTATGAATACGAGATACGTGAATATTTGAGTGGAATGTTA